AAATAATATTTTCTTATTCCGATTCAAATCAAACCCTATTGTGTGTTATTCATGTTCCTTCTTCTAAACGCAAAACAACTGTTGTATATCATGTAATTAACCACGGATTGCATAATTAAAAACACGCCCTGACCAATTAGAAAATAGTTATCAGGCAATTAAAATGTTGGTATATTATAAAATGTATTGAGTGGTTGTACTGCGATTTTTAAATGATATAATACAGTATGAAGTGATGTTTTATATGGTTAGATGACCAATATTGCTCTTCCGGTTGTCCTTGGTCTGATGATGGTGAATGCGACGACGGTGGAGTTATGTCCGCGTACAATATATGTAACTATGGCTCAGACTGTTCAGATTGTGGAATTAGACCTCATCCACGTAAGTATTGGATTGCTTACCAACATATTTTTTTAAATATTTTTATTACCGATCGTTTGTAATTTTGAATTTCCTGAATTTATCTGCAACAATTTTGTATTGTACAGAATGCAATAACGATTGCAAATGGAATGCCGATGGTATGTGTGACGATGGGGGCCCTAACTCTATATTCAATGTATGTGATTATGGTACCGACTGCAACGACTGTGGAGTTAGATCTGATGCAAGTACGTATAATCAGTGCATGTGGCGTCTATTCTGGTCTCAACACTTTCCGAGTAACATTGATATGATCAACGAACTAGAATAATGTATATATATATATACCATTAATAATGATTATTCAAATTTATTATTCAGTCTGTGACACACTGTGTAACTACAATGATGATGGTGAATGTGATGATGGTGGTCCAAATTCAGATTGGAATGTATGTCCATTTGGATCTGACTGTATGGATTGTGGAATTAGAGGTATGACACATAGTACTTATATATATATATTGGCTCTCATCCATGTGATAACCAGTTTGACGCTTTGTAACAACTTTGTACCTAATATTTTGTTTACAGTTGGGACGACAAAACGATCTCTGAAGAAAGAAGTACCACCGAAAAAGACAAGTGATTGGAAAAAGAAAAAAACTACTTCTTCAGAGCACTGAAAACTTGCAGTTGCATGTTAAACATAGTTTAGTTGAACCATTGTAAACGAAATTCTAATAAATATTACTGTAGATAATCATTTTCTGAAATATTACTTACATCCACCAATCAATAAATACAATCAATGTGACACCTTCGGCTAGTAAATCTACAGCAGTCAGGACGATCTCCATGGTCACCAGACCAGCTTCCGGTATACCAGCTGCACCAATACTGGCTACAGTTGCCGTGATGCTGGAAATAATATAGAAACAAGAGTTATCCCTAGTTCGAGACCTGATAATAAAATTATGTGACAAAAAGTATTAGCTATACCACGATATGAAATAATAAGTGCATGATTTAGAATAAAATGACTACGCATTTGGGATGTGATAACATATTCTTGGAGTAGGTGGGATTGAAAGCATAATAATAGAGGTACGCCATATAGAGGCATACATCAAGCAAAATACGCACAGTAAGCTTGAGTAACAAAATGAGTAACGAATGTCACCGTTCCCGTTATTTAATTTTAAAATACTCATGTTAAAATAATACATGGAGCATCTGCAAACAATTGAATTAATATGTACTCTATGTGGGTACAATCATCATAAAATAAGTTCCCTTAATCTGATAACCGAAAACTTTCATTGACCCAGGTCCAAAATCACAAGTGCAACTAAACTATGTCGCATACATGCTCAAGAAACTGCATTAACCTTGATGTAACTTTAATAACAACTTGACGTCTTTGTTAATTCAGGTCTTTGTATATTACCAGGAGCTGGGTTTCTTTCATTATCACCACTATAATTCTCAATAAATGTAACCTTGGCACCCCTCTAGTTTCCATTGAGATTGGTAATGGTACGACCCATCTGTCACTGATTCAGATCAAGGTCATGACCAGGTCATGACATCACTAAAAACCCTAGCATTACAATTTAAGCTAATTATTTATTTTGAGCATGCTCAGTTGCTCTGTCAGTGCAGTAGGGAGAGGGAATTTTCGATGAAAAAAAGACTTGTTCATCAACCGGCCAAGTTTCATCGATATCTGCTGCAGAATTTCTTAGAAAGTGTTAGAGACGTCACAGACGGAAAATTGAAATAAGAATTAATAGTCCGCCTTTCAGGTTGCGCCTGAAACGGGGACTAAAAAGACTATTTCACCGTTGCGATGGCATCAGGGATTGAATTTGTGAACAAAACGTGTCGGTTTTTATATTGTCACGAGATGGCATATATATGACGGCGCAGTACCATGGATCGGATAAAATGTAATGAGCAGGGTCCTAAATATAATTGTTATTGGCAACCAGTTTTTCTATTGAATGTTAGTTATATGATCACTTTTACGGTCTTCTCAGTCAGACGAGCAGATGTATTTTGTAGAAGAGTAGACTGTTTGCATAATCCATTTTCGTTGCAACAAAGGCATGGAGTTGTTTAGTTATGTCTCGAGAAGGATATTTCACATCAACTGATACAGTAAAGGGTATAGTTGTGGTCGTTTTTAACGTTTTAAAAATATACATTTTTATGAACCAAAATGGGTTCTAGAATTCAAATTAATCAATTCGAATATGGTATTGTGACATCAACGTTAGTTATAATTAATATTAAAGTATAAGCCAATCCTACTCACCTGATAATTATATATCCTCCAATATCATGAACACCTGTTCGATGAAGATGGCAGCAACGGCCTTGTAGAGGGTGGTGTCATCCATATTAATGGTGGCCACCACCGGTAGAACAAATTGTGTCACTCGTTTATCCAGACCTGTTTTTGTTCCTAAACATCGAATGGTCACTAGCGATGTCGCCGAGCTAAACGAATCAATGAAAGAAGTCACATGTATTAGTCACGTGAATTTATATCCAACTCACCAAATCGAATATAATTGTTATTGTTATAATCACTCAAGGCTACTTTATTTTAGGATCTGTTGGATGTGATTTCTTATTTCTCCCTTCAAAATTCGAAGCCTTTAATGATGCTTAAGGTTCTGAGAATACAACTTTAACACGATGGCGCATTTCTTAATCATTAATTGGGCTAATCGATTTAGCCATGAAACCACAGTGTTTACCTGTACTGTATATTTTCGTAAAACAATACAATTTTTAACTGAATAATTTAAAGTAATATTTTGTTACATGATTATAGATATATATTTCCCTGGGAAATAGAAAAATGCACATTCCACATTGCCAACAATACGGATAACACTTATAAAACATGCATAGTCGAGTGTTTTATCTTGAAACATTACATGTGTGTTTTTTCACTGAATGCGGACTAATAAAATCCGTTAGGCTACGAGGTATTTAATTCACCACGTGTATCGATTTCTAGTTGTACTAATGTTGGTAAGACCATATAGGTTGTTGCTTGACAAAAAGATTATTTTCTGGAGGTAATATCATGACCCATCTCATTATACGATGAATTACATCACTTTCGGTGATTGCCTAGTTGGCTTATATACCATAATGTTTACTCACAAATAACTCCATAAAACACGTTTCTAAAAATACTGAAAGATTAATGTTTTGATAGAAAATCCAGGTGTTATATTATATTATACACATGTTTTCAATTACAACACTGTGTTTTCAATTAAAACGGTGCGTTTTAATGAAAAACATGAAAGTGCTTCCAAGATGTACAGTGTGCCTGACAAATTTGTTTTTTTACACTGACTTTCATAGGATCATACATATATAAACACACCATTAAATATGAAGACATTAATTCACGCTAGGGGATAAAGTTACTGGCGTTAAGACCATCTAGATCAGTCAACAAAATTAATATTTAGAATTAGCCTGGTCAGCTACTGCAAACAATTATTTCCCAAAAATAACTGACGTTTAATTTTAAAACACATGTTATCATTGCCATATTTACACAAGTCATTTTATGTCAAATAAATAAAATATCTTATAATATATAATTATACCCCATACAGTACAGTGCTTTGACAAAATTATCTACTCATTATAAAAGTGAATTAAAATTAATTATGACATTATAAATTTATATAAACGTTTTGAAAAATGAATAACTAAATATTTTGAAAGCCAAATGATTGTAAATTTTAATCATTTATTTCACATGTTTATTTGTTTATTTGACCTTATAAAAAAGTTAAAATATACTCTGAGTACAATAGGTCTATTATAAGTCTGACAAATAATTTTCTTATAAAATTTTGGAAATGTTTTGTGAAACCATGATTTTCTGCTCCTTTGACCTTTATGGTAAATTTTCTATCAAGTCTACAGAAAGTTTATAGTTTTTTTAGTCATTCCATTTATCATTTTT